AGAGAGGAGCGACATTGAAGAACATGAGAATTCTACAGCTAAACCACGTAGAGGCTTATTTCTCTGTCACATGAAATCTGGATCCCAGTAGGCATGGTGGCTCCACAGCCATGATTTCCGGCTCTTACTCTGCGTTTCCCGAATTATTCTCGACCGCTGGCTTCCTCCTCATAGCCTAAGACAGTTGCCCCAGACCCAGCCATCACATCTGCATTCCCCCCAGCACGCAGGGGTAAGTGGGAGTGGAGGCCCTGCTTCTGCCTTTTCAGTAAGTACACCGCCCGGAAGCCACACACGTTATTCTTGGCAATGCCTGTCTGAATGTAAACACATGGCCGTTTATGGCCTCAAGGAATCCCGGGAAATGTGTTCTTTACTCTGGGTTCCCATGTGCCTAGCTAAATAAAAGCCAGGGGGCTCCCTCGCCGGCTTGGCTCAGTGGATAGAGTGTTGGCCTGTGGACTGAAGGGACCCAGGTTCGATTCTGGCCAAGGCACAGGCTTGGGTTGTGGGCTCAGTCCCCAGAAGAGGGCGAGCAGGAGGTTGCCGGTCAATGATTCTCTCATCATTGCTGTTTCTATCTCTCTCTCCTCCCTTCCTCTCTGAAATCAATAAAGAAATATATATTTTTTTAAAATAAAAAAAGTCAGGGGCTCTAGGATTATAAAGAAACAGGAAAATGGACATTACTAGCAGGGTGTCATTGTCTCTATACTAACATCTCTCCTCAGCAAAAGAGAAAGTTCTGTATCTTATCTTTCCTTCTAACCTTTGAACCCTGTGAGAGGACAAACCCCCCTTCCCTCAGGCCAAACTACAAGTTGCACTAGAGAGACTTTCTTAAGGCACACCCGGAAGCCAGCGGCCGCCAGCAATTTCCAAGTGCAAGGCATTGCGTTAGCCAGGGCACTTCTCCCAGATCTGACCTTTGATAAATGTATTGAGAAAATCAGAGAAGGCCACCCCATTGCAAAACCAGAATTGCAAGACAAGGTGTGTGACAAACCTCTGGTGAGCGAGTTTCAGCTCCTCTACTAGTCATTAAAGCGATACATTAGACTGTGTGTGTAAATCACATCCCTCTGCAAAAGCACTCATTTTTCATTCCTTCTTCTCACTCCAGAGGAGTATGTGTGTGTGTGTTATGGAGGGGAGACCATGGGACTGGACTGAAGTCTTCTATTTATCTCTTTCTCTTTCTTTCTTTCAATTTATTGATTTTAGCCCTGACCGGTTTGGCTCAGTGGAGAGAGCGTTGGTCTGCAGACTGAAGGATCCCAGGTTCGATTCCGGTCAAGGGCATGTACCTTGGTTGTGCGCACATCCCCAGTAGGGAGTGTGCAGGAGGCAGCTGAATCGATGTTTCTCTCTCATCGATATTTCTAACTCACTATCTCTCTCCCTTCCTTTCTGTGAAAAATCAATAAAATATATTTTTTAAAAATTATTGATTTTAGAGAGAGGAAGGGGAGAGAAAGAGAGAGAGAGACATCGATTTGTTGTTCCACTGACTTATGCACTCATTGGTTGATTTTTGCATGTGCCCTGATTGGGGATCAAACCCGCAGCCTTGGCATATCAAGACGATGCTCTAAACAAGTGAGCTACCCAACCGGGGCAAATTTTTCCATTTCCATCTGAAATATTTCTGTTTCAAACCAGAAGACGATGAGCCAGAGGAGGCCCTGGATCTCTACCTGAAGCCAAGGTTTCCTTGACTGGTTCACGTGCTTTGAGACCCACGCCTCTGACACAGTAATGCAGAGACTAGGTGGCCCGGGTCCAAGTCCTGGCTCTGCCACTCACTGGCTGTGTGACCTCAGCCAAGACACCTAACCTCTCTGTGCTTCAATTTCTTCATTTGCAAAATAGCACTTGAAATAATAGAAAGTTATTTTTAGGGCTTCTGTGAGATGGTTCAGTCAAGTCTCAGGAGGAACCCAGGGCTTGGGGCTGTTCCTCAGCAGATGACCACAGGAATGTCCCCGGCCCCTGCCCTGGCATCTGGCCAACGAGGCAGGCTGGCAGTGAGGAGGCCCTTTAGGGCTGTAGGGTTGATGATGGTCCCCAGGGTGGACAGCAGAGAGGATGAACAGGGTTGGTGCTCCCTCTTCGGGCATTGCCGTGCTGACCAAGCCCGAGGAAGCGTGCTGGTCTGATCCCTCCCGATTCTCTTCCAGAGGACTCCGCGGGCCTCTCCTTCATGTCCTGGCCTGATTGTACATTTCCAAGCCCCCAGGCCCCTTCCTGCGGGATCAGTGTGCAGTGTGGTACCTCGGTATTTGTGCCTCCCGTTCGTTAGACAGAACCCTGGACTCAGAGCGCGGGTCCGTTTTCTGGGGGCTCCGGCTGGGTCATCCCCCATTTGGACCACCGCCAGCACACTGCCCCGTGTGCAGGGCCTGGGACACACCCCGAGGCTCCTGCCCTATGCTGAAGCGGTAGAAGATGCTCACGTCAAAACAAAAAGGCCTTGTCAGACGGGAAGGAGGTGCTTTTAGCAGCCCCGCTGTCCAGAGGGGGAGACAACGCTCACGAAAAGGCTGCGATGCCATCAGGCGTGGTGAGAGAAGGCAAAACCGCAGAGAGGGGCGTGGAAGGGAGGCGCCTGGTGCATATGCTGTCGCCTGCCTCCCGCCTCGTCCTTGGCAGCAGAGGGCGGCCAGCTCTGCATGGCACACGCTCTTCTGCGTCCGCTCTCCGTGTGTGTGATCCTTCTTGGAGCCTCCTCCCGTGTCAGCAGAGAGCTTGCTCATTACGGACTCCAGCCTTCTTCCTGAGCGGGAGGCCCCGAAGCCGCCTGCCACCCTGGTGAAGGCCGACACACACAGGACTCCGCCCTGGGTTCAGAGGGAGACACCCCTTCCCCCTTGTCTCAGACCCAGCGCCCCTCACCCGGCCTACCTTCAGTGCCGGTCTCCAGCGGCAAACCGCCTCCCCTCAGAGATACGAGTTTCCCCCCCTGTGGATGAGGGCAGTTAGCTAACAGGCAGCCACCCCGAACCAAAAGGTGAGTTCAGGATGAACTGTGACAATCGGTGCCGTGTGATGTGATCGGTTGCATCTGCCTGTACGTACACAAAGAGGGTTCCTCCCCGCTTCTGCAGCTCATGGACGGATTGCCTGTGATGTGCACCAGGATTGCTGCTTATTCAGTAACGAGGCTGTTTTCTTTCTCCCATCCAAGTACTAACCAGGCCCGACCCTGCTTAGCTTCCGAGCTCAGACGACAGCGGGCGCGTTCAGGGCGGTATGGCCATAGATGAGGCTGCTTTCTTTCTCTCCTACCTGTGCAGAGGCTTTCTGGGTTCCTCGGGGACTTTAGCACATTGAGCGCCAAGCCTGTTCTGTCTTCCTTTCCGTGCAGCCCGCGGTCCCCGTCCCACCGATGGGCTGGCGGCACCAGTGGCGGACCGGTCCAGACGGAAAGTGACTGGCACGGCACTGAACGTGTTAAAATAAATGTCTTCTTCAGCATCTTCAAACATCTTTCTGCAGAGGCCTGGTTAGGAGGCCGGCATCTCCACACAGTGGAACACTATGCAGTCGGGACAAAGAACACAAACGCGCTCCTCATGGTCATTGCAGAGGCAAAGGGCATGCGTCGAAGTAAGTCCACCATTTTTTTTTTTTCTTCTGTAAAAGACTCTATCTGTGTTTTCTCACATTGGCATACTTTCTGGAAGAGTCAGTGAGGGACTAAGAAAAAGTGCTCGTGTGTGTTAAGAGGAACTGTGTGGATGGGGGAGAGAGGAGGGATGGGGGGATGGGATTTTTTTTTTTTTTTTTTGATGAACACCATTTCATATTTTCTGATTTCTGAAACATGTGACTATGTTATCTATTAAAAATACATTAAAAGGAAGGGGTGGGAGCAAGCCAACTAAACAAACCACGAAGGAAAGAAACCCCAGGTCCAGACATCCTCTCAGCATTTGGTTCTGTTCATTTCTGAGCTCAGTCTTGACCTTGAAGTCAACGGAATGTGAATTATGTTGGTACATTTTCAGGGTTCTTGGTGGACTTTTCCCTGTAAGGTGGACCTTAGTATAAAAGCAGGGAATGTCTTTATTTAAAAAAAACACACACACAAACAAAAAAATAAAATAAAATAAAAAAACATCAGGTAAAACAACGGTCACATTGCACTCCTCCCCGTACTCCTCCTCCCTCCTGCTTCCCAGGGTCCTCGCTGCCCAGGGTCCAGCCTTGCTGAGTTGGGGGTGGGGCACCCGCTTTCAGAGGCTTGGTGTAGCCCCTCCCCCACTGTCTCTCTCTGCCTCTCAGGAGGTCATGGGTCAGGAGGGATGATGGGAAGGGGTGGGTGGGGCACAATGTCCCTCCATGCTGGGCATCAGGGAGCCCGAGATTCCACCATTAGCCGCGTCTTTCAGAAGCTCCTTGGAGGACAGTGGGGAAGGACATGGGGCAGGGTCATCTCTCAAGCCCCAGCCCCTGTAGGCGGTGTTGGTGGTCTCTCTTGTTACTACTGCTGGGCATTAGATCAGGAAGTGGCCCCGGCACTTTTGCCACCCGCCGGCGTCGCCCTCTCATCCCTCGGCAGGCGCATGAGGTAGGTGCTATTGATCATAATCGCCGTTTTGTGGATGAGGAAACACAGGCACACGAAAAATCTAGTGACATCCCCAAGGTCGCACAGCTTGCAAGGCCCGCTCGCCCTCCTGGCTGCTGCCCTTCGAACACCCTCGAGCTGCCTCCTGCTGAGTGCTCCAAGCCAGTCCTCTCCAAGGCGTGCGGGAAGGACGCCCTGGAACAGTGGGATTGCAAGCACGGTGACTCAGAGCGGGGGGAGGGCAGTGCTCTGCATTTCCAGGCTCCCTGGGAGGGAGGCCTGTGGAATGAGCCGCCTTAAGGAGGGGAGCTTATGTTGATGGTCCAAGTCCTCAGGCTCCGCCTCAGACAGGCCCCCCTCCCCCAACACTTTCCCAGTGACCTTGGGCCCTTGCCTTGACTCCCCCGGCTCCCAGGTGTCCGTTGGCCTAGGCGGGGCACTGCAGGCTGCAGAAGTCTGCCGAGGAGAAGAGCCGCCACACGTTGACCAGCGGGAACATGAGCAGAGCTCCCAGCAGCGAGCCCAGCTGCACCGCCGCCCCACACCACAAGAGGGCGCTGCGGCTACGGTCGCGCAGGATCACGCCCAGCATCACCTTGACATAGCTCAGGCAGCCGATGAAAAGCACCCACGAGGCCACCTGCAGGGACAGGGTGGGAGAGATGCAGAGTGCAGGGGGCTTTGGGGTGAATCCTAAAGGCCAAAGGTATAAGATGACCTAGGGTAATAGGGATAAGGTAACCCCGTGGTTATTCCCTCCCTCATGATCAAGTCCAGGGCTGTGGGAGAAAGCCACTGAGGACAAAGACAAGGTGGGAAGGGTGTGGCTTTCCGAGGAGAGCCTGAGCCATTACCTTGGACCACCTACCTTGCCTTCCCAAGTCTCCTTTCCTAAATGAGAAACAACCCCCTCCCCACCATCACCACTCCCTCCCCCTCCCCCCCACCCCCCCCCACCACCTGGGGCTCCCCAAGGGAGCAACCAGAGACTGCTCAATAGAAGGGCTGTACCCCGTGTCCCCCAGGCCTGTACCCCGTGTCCCTCAGGCCTGGCCAGGCGAGGGCCACCTGTGGGAGCAGATACTTACGATGGCGACTTCTCCGCTCCAGTGGCCCTGCAGGAGGGGGCAGGGGCTCATCACCGCCATAGCCATGTTGTAGGCCCCAAAGCCGGTCCCAAGGACGGTGAGGACCCCCAGGAAGAGCAGAGACCTAGGGCAGAGCGGGGGAGGTGAACGGAGTCGTGACAAGCCTGACCTCTGCCTCCCCCAATGTGGGAGCCACGTGGGATGGTCAGCAGCTCCGGGCTTAGAGGTTACATTAAGGCGACCAGATCGTCCCGCTTTTGGCGGGACAGTCCCGATGTCTAACAATTTTTCCTGAGTCCCGTGGCGTTTTTAAAAAAGTCCCAATTTTTGGAAAGAAGATTTTCTTTCCCCAAAATAGGGACTTTTTAAAAAACGCCGTGGAAACTTTAGATCCACGTGGAAACTTCCAGGCCCCGGGCTCCCATGGGTCAGTGAGGCTCCTGAGGGACAAGGCTGGCCTAAGCCACCCTGGGCATCCAGCAGGAGAAGCAGAATGCCTCTGGCACTACGAGGACCTGGTTCTAGTCTCAGTGCCACCGTGTAAGCTGGGAGGCTGGGCCCGGAGCCTCCGTGTCCTCACCTGGGAAATGAGCCCGGGGGGCCTGTGGGAGCAGAGCGTGCAGGGTCTGGTCTGGCCATGAGCCCTACTGCTGCCATTCCCCCCCCCCCCCCGCAACACCCCAGCCTTAGCCAGGAAGCTGGGCCAGAGAGCGGTGGTTCTGAGCAGGGCACTGGCCCTGGCCCTGCAGGTGCGGTGTGTGACCTCGGGAACCCTCTCTTCTGGCCTCGGCCACCCGTCTGTAACCGAGGTTTGCAGGGTCTGGAAACCCAGGGACCAGTGTGGATGCCTTCCATTCAGAGTCCAGGTCTGACATTGAGGACACTGTCCTTCCCGCACTGGAAGTCTGTCCTCCTAGCCCCCATGGTCAGCAAACTGCGGCCCTAAGGAGCCAGTGGGGCTGGAGGCAGGAGGGCAGGGCTGGACTCCTGGCAGCGAAGCGGGCCTGCCTTTCTCTGAGCCTCAGGGTTCCACTTCCTGCCTGGCTGCTGCTTCTCAGGGGCCGATGGCCGTGATGGCGGACACATTGAACCTGCCATGCTCTGCGCTTTACAGAATCAGCTCCTCTCCTGCTCCCGGCCACCCTCGGAGGCAGAACCATGATTATCCCCATTTGTCCGATAGGAATCCCCGAGGCACAGAGGGGTGGGGCGACTTGCCCAATATCACACAGCTAGGAAGCAGCAGAGCTGGGATTTGAACCCAAGCCATCTGGTTCCAGAAACCATAGCCTTAACTGCTACACACACCGTGTGTAGGATGGTTGGGGTCTGGAATTCTGGCTTTTTGAAATGAGGTGCGCCCCCACCCAGAGCTCCCCGGGCCAGCGGGCAGCAGACCTGCTGGGCAGGAACATGGAGAGGAAGCAGGCCAGCGGGTTGGCCATGGCGCTGAGGGCGGCGGACAAGTGGTAGGCCACCGGCCCGTAGGACAGGCAGGAGTAGGTCTGCACGGAGGGCAGCACGCCGTTGGTGAGCGCGTTCACGAAGGCCACCAGGCCGTAGATGAAGAGCAGGCGGGCCGGGTAGCGGGGGGCTGCCTTCTCCTCCGCGGGCTCCGGGCCCCCGCCGCCGTCCGCCGGGCCTGCGGGGCCCTGGTCCTCCTCCAGGGGCCGGATGGAGTAGAGGGTGACCTGGGAGGTGAGCAGGTCTTCGGTGGAGGTCTTACAGCGCCTGGGGGGACGCTGGAGCAGGAAGAAGGCGAGGAGGGAGCCGGCCATCATGACGGAGAGCAGCAGGAAGAAGACCAGGGGTGAGAAGTGGGCGGGGAGGTAGCGGCTTTCCAGGTGGACACCGGTGAGCGCGGCCCCGGTGAGGCCAGGCGCAGGAGTGCTGGCATGTCCCTGGGGAAGACAGAGCGAGGGTCATCGGGTCCCTGGGTGACCCTGGGACACAGGGGAAATCACTCATAATGGTAACACGGCTGAAACCGGTTTGGCTCAGTGGCTAGAGCGTCGGTCTGTGGACTGAAAGGTCCCAGGTTCGATTCCAGTCAAAGGCATGTACCTTGGTTGCAGGCACATCTTCAGTGGGGGGTGTGCAGGAGGCAGCTGATGGATGTTTCTCTCTCATCGATGTTTCTAGCTCTCCATCTCTCTCCCTTTCTCTCTGTGAGAAATCAATAAAATATATTTTAAAAAATAACGGTAACACGCAACAGATTTGACGCATTATTATTAATTAGTGTGTGATGAATAATGTACCCGTGACAACTGAGGTCATGACAATACACGCTCATATGGACCGACGGCTGATTGGGCACCGCACTTCTCATGCAACAGCTGGTGTGCACCTCCCGGCAGCCCTGTCGTGCAGGGGGGACTGTTTCCCGGATTTACAAGGACAGAGGTGTCAGAACAGATTCGTCTTACCCGAGGGTCCCGGGAGTGTGTGGCAAAGCCAGTCCACTTGGTTCTTTCGGACTCAGCTCTGCCTCTTCCTACTCTACAGCCCTCCAAGGCCGGCAGCTGCATGTATGTTCAGAGGAGGGCGGGCTGGGGACCAGCCCGTGGGAGAGCAGCCCCATTGGACTCACTCTGAGATGATGTGGCCTCGTGTGGCCAGATAGATCTCTTTTCAAGAGCTACCTGCCTGGCCGGTGTGGCTCAGTGGTTGAGCATTGACCTGTGAACCACGAGGTCACAGTTGGATTCCAGGTCAGGGCACATGGCCGGGTTGTGGGCTCCATTCCCAGAGTGGGGCAAGCAGGAAGCAACTGATCAATGATTCTCTCACATCATTGATATTTCTCTCTCTCTCTCTTGCTCTCTGAAACCAATAAAATATATATATTTTTTTTTTAAAGAGCTACCAGCCCTAGCTGGTTTGGCTCAGTGGAAAGAGCGTCAGCCTGTGGACTGAAGGGTCCTGGGTTCAGTTCCGGTCAAGAGCACATGCCTGGGTTGTGGGCTCGATCGCCAGTGGGATACATGATGATTCTCTTTCATCATTGATGTTTCTATCTCTCTCCCTCTGCCTTCCACTCTGAAATCAATATATATATATATTTAAAAAAAGAGCTATTCTTAGACAATCCCCCAGGTGGATAAAGGTTGAGGTAGCCCAGGAAAAGAGCAAAGAAAGGGTGTTGCTTCTTCTAATTTTGGCTTTTTAACTGGATTGCTTACTGAGAGTCTGAACAAAACCTTTGCTGGTTAAATGAGACCCTGAACTCTCTTTGGTTCAAAAAGAGAAAGGACAAAAAAGAGAAAGGACACTTGCATCCCCAACCTGAATAGCCAATGGTGCAGACCCTGAATCCGGAGCGGGAGGGCACGGGGGCCATTCTGTGCGGGAGGGCAGCCGATTCCAGAGAAGCTGGTGGGAGCCCAGGAGGAGGGCGGATGCCTTAGCATGGGTTTATACCGAGAGAGGGCTGTGCCCCGGAGTGCCACGGGCCTGGCCAGGCCTTGTGGGCCCTTGCTCAGGTCTCCCTAGGTGACTGAGAGTCTCTGTGGGGCCAGAAGAAAATGCCCTACAGGGATACAGGGATGGCCTGTAGGGATATCCACTACATTTGGTCTGAACACGTGTACATAAAGGCTGGTTTCCCCCCAAAATCTGTTCAGACTTTATGGATCTCAAAGAAAAAATTCAAATTAACGTGGGAACCCACACCTCCAAGGCCAACAAGCCCAGGACAGTCAGCCCCCCGTTGATGCTGAGATGGCTGCGATGAGGACCCTCTGGTGCTTCTAAATTCCACGTTGGTGCACCCCATTAGGAAATGCTGGCTGTAAAACTAGGCAGAACGAATGGAAGACCTATCTAATGGGTCTCTTGAAGCTTCAAAAAGAGGATTTAGATGAATGGGTCCACCTGCGATGCTGGTTAGGCGTCAACCCAGGTCTATGGGGTATTAAAAATAGCTGTCCCGCTGAAGCCGGTTTGGCTCAGTGGATAGAGCGTCGGCCTGCGGACTGAAGGGTCCCGGGTTCGATTCGGGTCAAGGGCATGTACCTTGGTTGCGGGCACATCCCCAGCAGGGGTGTGCAAGAGGCAGCTGATCGATGATTCTCTCTCATCGATGTTTCTAGCTCTATATCCCCCTCTCTTCCTCTCTGTAAAAAAATCAATAAAATATATATTTAAAAACAAAACAAAACAAAAAAACCCCGCTCTCCTTGTTTTAAAAGGGGGAAGGTCGTGTGGCACTTGCCTTGTCAAAGGCAGATATAAATTGTAAATGTCACGGAAAAGAATGGGGTCCAGCTGTGCTTTTATAAACGAGTGTGCCTAGATAGGTGTGTTGTAAATGTGAAATAATTCTCTACCTCCGGACATTGCTGACATTAATATAAAGGCAAGGGCTAAAATTCTCACGAAATTTTCAATTTTGAAAGTGAAATGCATTTTGATAAACAATGACGTTAGAATTATTCAGAGTGTGTGTACACATTTTTGGGGGGTACCCTGTATTTTACCTGCGTTTACAAAAATAAATTCATGTTAATAATTGAGTTAGATGTCTATGAAATACGTTTCTAAAATAAAGTGTCTTCATAAACTTAAGCTAAAGAATGCCAATTGCTTACTTCTTAGTTTCCATTAGAAGTTGCTAAGGGTTAAATCTCAGTGTGTGTGGGAATACATCCCCAGAGGCTCCCTGGGGCACCCCGGAGGTTTGTTTGTCTGTTAAATGGCTGCGGGGAGTGTTGTGAAACGATAAGGAACAACCCCTGGGGTAGCTGTGTGGTTAAACGATGCTGGTAAATTAACCAGCGGGGCCCTGGGAAACTTGGCACAGCCTGGTTCTCTATGGGTCCCTCCCAGTGGGCGTTTAACTCAGGACCCAATGGTCCCTGCGCTCAGAGTCTCATTTGATTGGTCTGGCTGCAGGGGTGCCCCCCGTAGTGTGTTTCAGTAGCTCTCCCAGGTCAAGGGCATGGGGCCACCCAGCATTTCGGAAATCCGAGCCCGCCTGCCGGCTGTGGGGTCGGTACCTGGGGGAGGTCGATCATCCTCAGGGTGCTGGGGCTGGAGGCGTTGTCAGGTGTGTCGGTGACGTTGACGCAGGTGGTGAGGCCCGAGCCCTGGGCAAGAGCCACCAGGGCGGGCAGGAGGCCGCTGAGCCCCTCGCCCACAAAGTAGGTGGTGAGGTAGTGGGAGGACAGCTGGCTCATGAAGGGCAGGAAGGTGACGGAGGAGGTGCAGTCCACCAGGGCCAGGAAGAAGGTGAGCACCATGAAGGTGATGCTGTGGCGGCCGCCCTGCACCCAGGAGGTGACGTTCCAGAGGAAGGCGAAGAGGGCGCAGGCGACGGTGCCCACGCCCAGCACGGCGAAGATGACGGGCACCTCGGACACGTAGCCCGGCCGGAAGTGATGGAGCAGCGTGAAGAGGAGGGGCCCGATGTTGGCCAGCTGGATGGTCACCGTGAGGTAGGAGGGCAGGTTCCAGCCCTCGGGCAGCTCCGCCACCAGCAGGGGCAGCTCGACCCAGATCCCGTTGATGGCCACCCAGGAGCCCATCCCGAAGGTGCAGACGAGCAGGTGTGTCAGGAGGGCCATGGTGATACCCGTCCTGGGTCAGAGGCCGCCACCTCCCAGACCAGCCGGCAGCAGGGCCTACGGAGCAGAAGACCAGGTGAGCAACGTCAGGTTCACCATCTAGCTCAGGGTGGGACCGTCCTGCCCACAGGCGGCACGAGGCCCGAGAAAGCATTGGGTCTGGCCCTGCCGAGGCCTGAGGGGTGAGCTAATGAAATGTCTGACCACATGGAGCAGGCTGATTTGAAAGTTGACAATTTTGTAGAATGGCGTTATATGTATCCAAATGGCCCTTGGCAAAAAAAGGTTCCCATCACTGGTAGCAAAAGACTGGGCTTTGCCGAGACCGGTTTGGCTCAATGGATAGAGCGTCGGCTTGGGGACTGAAGGGACGGGGTTCGATTCCGGTCAAGGGCATGTACTTGGTTGCGGGCATATCCCCAGTAGGGGGTGTGCAAGAGGCAGCTGATCGATGACTCTCATAGATGTTTCTAGCTTTCTATCTCTCTCCCTTCCTCTCTGTACAAAATCAATAAAGTATATTTAAAAAAAAAAAAAAAAAGACTGGGCTTTGAGCCCCCAGTTTTCTCATATCTTTCCCTTCACGAACAAGTGTGCTGTGTGCTGTGTGTGTGTGTGTGTGTGTGTGTGTGTGTGTGAAGCAGGAAACATGAGCAAATTCCTTTATAACTAACCTTCCAGGAGGAAAGACTTTTTAACCAGGACTTGTAAAGCCTGAGATGACCGAAGAAAAGTTTGATACATTCAACTGCGTAAATATCAAAACAGAAAAGCAAACAAACAAAAAGTAAACACAACAGAAGCCATGGCCAGGTGGCTCAGTGGCCGGAGTGTCATCTCACGCACCACACACCGCACACCAAAAGGTCGCGGTTCGGTTCCCCATCAGGGCAAATGCTTGGCTTGCAGGTTCGATCCCTGGTCAGGGAGCTCTTTCTCTCTCTAAAGTCAGTAAAAACATACCCTCCGGTGAGGAGTAAAACAACCACAAAGTACTCCCTGGGAAAAATGCACCAGCAAGACCAAGAGACAGGTGACACCCTGGGAGGGAAGTATTTGCACTGTAAATCACCGACAAAAAGGCTCATCTTCCTAGAAAATTAAGAACCAAAAGACCCAATAGCGAGGTGGGAAAAGTTCAGAGGAAAAAGTACAAGTAAGTCTTAAACGTATGAAAAGACGATCACCCTCATTCACGGGAAATGTCACTGAACAATGAGGCCAACGTGCCGTTTCTCACCATGAGGTTGTCCCAAAGGTTGCCTGCCCTGGACAAAACCATGCAAGCATGAGGTTACTGCTTCCTGTGGCCTTGCTGGTAACAGCAAAATATAGAAAATGACCCACGTGCCCGTCAGTAAGGGAGGGCTGAAAACAGGAATGCCTGAGTCTGACGCCCCACACCGGTGGAAGGAATGAGGAAGTCAGGAGCCCTCCCGGGCTGACGGACAGGTCTCCAGGTGATGTCGATAAGGGAACAAAACTGAGGTAGGTAGACCGTGTGCTGCCTTTTGGATCCAGGAAATATGAAAACGAATAAAGCTTTGCTTGTATTTGCATAAAGCCGCTCAAGAACACCCGGGAACTATGGGGCTGTGGGTGGCACCTATACAGAGCGATTTCTAGCCCTGGCCAGGTGGCTCAGTTACCCGGAACATCATCCGGTACATCCAAAGGTTTCGGGTTTGATTGCCAGTTGGGCACATACTTAAGTTGTGGATCCTATCCCTGGTTGGCATGCGTGAGGGAGGCAACGGATGGGTTTCTCTCTCACATCGATGTTTCTCTCTCACTCCCCCCCCCCCTCTCAAATCAATAAACATATTCTCAGGTGAGAACTAAAAAAAAAAGATTTGTAGACCTTTTTATACAGTGTTGACTATATAAACAAGTAATTATACTATTACAAAGAAGGTTACTTAACATAAAATTCCAACCTGGCATTTTCTTGTGACGGTATAGCACTCCCTAGCTGGACAGTCCCGAGGAGACCAGCTAACTCTGACCCTTCGGAGGACCGTTCTGTCATCTGTTTACCACCGAAACCATGAGCTGTGTCACACCGTGAGCTGTGTTGCACTGCCGTGCCCTGTGCTCTTTGATTCCCCTCAGTATGAGCAGAGATAGAGGAGAGGCCAGAAGCGAGACTCTGGATCCAGCTTCTGGGCTTGAACCCAGCTCTGCCACTCACTGGGGTGACGCTGGGCATGGGACTGCCTCTCGGGACCTCACTGTCCCCCTCTGTAGACAGAGGATGATGCCGGCACCCACGAGACCCTGGTGTGTTAGTGAGCTGCTGGTGTCCGGACTGTGCCTGCCTGAGGTTAGCTGTTATTACTGTGGTGAAATGCCAGGTTTGGGGGCATCGGCATTGTTTTCTAATTCCCATGAAGAAATGGACGCGTGGCTATTCAGATTTAAAAAGGGAGAATAATTCCCCAGGAGGAGCCACAGGCAAGCGCCAGCGATTCCTGCACCATCCTGGAGGAGGGAAATGCCAGAGTCGGAGTCAGTTGGGCCAGTGCCCTCCTTTTACAGATGGGAGACAGGACAGGTCTGCAGGGAGGGAGGGATTCTCCGGAGAGATGGAGAGACGGAGGGGAGGTGGATTTGGAGCCAGTCCCCTGCAGCACTTGTCCCCGCCCCCCATGACCCTGTGGTGACCCCTGATCCTTTGGTTCTATGCAGTTCCTCAGGTGAGGATGAGAGAGAGAGAGAGAGAGAGAGAGAGAGAGAGAGAGAGAGAGAGAGAGAGAGAGAGAGGAGAGAGAGAGAGAGAGAGATATGGGAAACAGGGATGGCTGTGTCCCATAGGCTCCCCGGCTGGGGATGGACTGGAAACTAGGTATGCGCCCTGCCCCAGAATCACAATGGAACCTGAAACCTTTTGTTGCCGGGGACAACGCCCAAGCACCTGAGCTGCCAGGCCAGGGTGCAGTGTCTCTGGGTTGGCCTCACTCAGGGAAGCCTTGACACCACAGCAAGGTCTCCCCACCCAGACCTGACTCTCAGGGCCCCTCCCTTCCTCTTTCCTCCATGGGGGAGACCCAGCCCACCCCCCAGCCTCTCCTTGGCCCGGGAAGCTGCGGCAGAGTGCAGTCTGACCTGCTTTCAACCCGACCCGACCCGACCTGACCCGCCGCCTCCTGTCCGGCCTCAGCTAAGCCGCCTCAGCCTGTCTCTCACGGTGAGGCTGGCCTAGCAGCCAGGTCTGGCTCTGGCGCACCACAGGGGCCCCTGGAGAAGAGCAGCTCCAGGCAATGGCCGCCTGCCTGGCCGCTCCCCGTCCCTGTGTGTGCTCTGAGCCCGGAGCGTTCCGCAGGGCCCGGTCCCCAGGAGGACCCCATCCCAGGATGCCCAGCGCTGGGCCCCGGGGCCCCTCGTGTCAGGGTTTCTGGTGTGGAAATGTCCAGGGAGACGGAAGGTCTCAGAGGGCAGAGGGCTGCTCTGGGGCCTGGCTCTGAGGGATTTTCGGCTCAGGGTCTGTGGATTGGTCCCCCTCGGCCATCGCCAGATAGTAGGCGTGTTCTTTTGGTTGCTGAAACCCGCACGTTGGGTCGTGGCAGACAAAATTCAGGATTTCGGGGTTCCTGGGATGGTATGTCAAATCTCCCAATAAAAATTGGGATGGGGGTGAGGTGTATTTTATGTCTTCAATCTTAAATTTTTTAATCTGTCTAGTCACTCATTTTTACTGTAGAAGCAAAGATTCAAGCATTTGCCACAGATTGGAAAGAAAGACTAGAGCTTGCCCCGGGGGAATACAGGATGCCTGGTTTGTTGAGAATATTCTGGAAGACCACACCAGGTCTACCTGCCAAACTGGCAACCGTCACTCTCGGCCCTCTTTCACTTAGGGCACTTGCCTGGGCCCCAACTGGCCCCATAGGCACTGGGACCCCTTGTTTCTGAGCCACCAGGTTCCCTCACTAGCTGGGGGCTCACTGGGGGCTGCAGTCCAGTCTTGGGCCTCTCTCTCCGTCCCAGACTCGGGCACTGCCTCCAGCCACCTTACTGCTCTCTCCTGCAGTAAAATTCGGAGCCAGACACCTGGGGTCAAGCCTCAGCTTCCACCCTTCCAAGCTGAGCAGAGGACAGCCTCCTGGCCTGACACCTCTTCTGCAAAACAGGGAGGCTCCCAGGACTGGCAGCAGAATGGTAATGACCATGAACTTGCAAAATGTTGGAATAGTGCTGGACACAAAGCACGTGCTCAATAAAACATGAACTGTTCTGTTCTTCCCATTTCAGCAGATACATGAACTGCATTTGGAAACAGGCGACTACCCGGAACACACTTTGGATACAACACAAGTGATTCCTGGTGGCAAGAGTTTGCCATCACTTCCTCTTAATCAGTCCCTAAGCGGTGATTCAGCACCTACCCTGCAGTCAGAGCGGAGCTTCGGGAGATGAAAGCAGAAAAGCCACAGGGGATTTCCCCTGAGGAAGGAATGAGGAAGAGGTGTGTGGGCAGCCGAACTCAAGTGCAACCACCAGCGAAGGAGCTGCTGGGACTGAATGGTGGTGGTGGGTAGGTGTGTGTGTGTGTGTGTGGGGGGGAGGACGGGTGGAGCGGAGAAGGGAGAGGCTCTCTTTCAAAGACCCAGAGCTCTGGGACTTGAGGGCAGTCTGGCTGCGATATCTGTCACCCCACGGATCGCCAAGGCTGACTCCGCTGGTCTGGATGGTGAGGCGGGTGTCGCCATCCTCCCTCACCGTCCCTGTGCATACTCCTTCCCCCTCCCCCCCCCCCCGTCCCCCCTGCCGAGCTGCAGGGTCTGGGTCGAAGAGGACAGCCTTCCCTCATAGAGGAGGGGGCCATTCTTCGGTCCTGGATATATGAGTAGCTGCCCCCCCCCTCCCCTTTTAGAACCTCCAAGCAAGCAAGCTCTCTAAGCCAGGAGCCCTGCTGCCGCGTCTCAGCTCCCCACGGTGCTGCCCAAGACCCAGAACCGGGCGAGGCTGCCCTCTCCGCCCTAGACCAGACTGGTGTAAAG